CTAATACTAATTTTTGAAAAACTTAAACCAAATACCATACCGAATACCAAAATATCGAATATCGAAGACCAAAATTTTCGGTTTCGGTACGGTAATTCGATATTTACCAAATTATGCACAACCCTAACCACGAGAGCTAAGGCCAATTTTTCTAGATTTAGGTAGCGAGTTTCTTCTCTCATCAAAATTTTATTAACATAATAGATAAGAGATTACACACCTTCGTCCTCATGGACTAAAACGTCACTTACTGCTACCTCCAAGATCGCTCAGTAAATCAGCAGTTGTTCACCTTCCTCCGATTTTGAAAGCAATGGAGGGCTTGATAAATATCTTTTCGAATCCTTCAAAGCCTGCTGGCATTCTAGAGTCCATTCGAAGTTGTTCTTCTTTTTGAGGATTGAAAAGAAGGGATGGCATTTTTTCGAGGACCGGGAAATGAATCTGCTTAAAGCGGCCAGTCTTTATGTCAACCTTTGAACCTCTTTCACGTTTGATAACTGGTTAGTGATGTCTTCGATGGATTTAATTTTATCAGGTTGACTTTAATCCCCCTTTGTGATACCAAGACTCCCAAGAACTTACCGGAGCTGACTCCGAATGCATATTTCTCGGGGGTAAACTTTATGTTGTGCTTCCTTGGGATGTCAAATGTTTCTTGTAGGTGTTTAAGATGATCACCTGCATTCAAAGTCTTAACCATCATATCATCTATGTAAACTTCAATGGTTTTCCCTATTTGTTTCTCAAACATTTTGTTTACGAGCCGCTGATAAATGACTCTTTAGCGGAAATGCATTACATTATAACAATACGTGCCAAAGTTCATTATGAACGAAGTTTTTTCCTGATCCACTAGGTTCATCTTGATATGGTTTTACCCAGAGTAAGCATTATAGAAACTCATTAACTCGTGCCCAGTCATCGCATTGATCGTTTGATCAATGTTTGGGAATGGGAATTAGTCTTTGGGGCACACCTTGTTTAGATGCTTATAGTCTATGCACATGGAAAATTTATTATTCTTCTTTGGAACTACTACTAAGTTAGCTAGCCAGTCAGGATACTTTACCTCTATGATTTAACTGATATCAAGCAGACGAGTTATCTCTTCTTTGACGAATTTGTTTCTGACCTCACCGAAAGGATGTTAGGATCCAAGCTAAGTTTGTGCATGACCACTTTTAGCGGGATACCTGTCAGATTCGCATGCAACCATGAAAAACAATAAATGTTAAATTTAAAAAATTCTATAAATCCTGACCTGAGCTCTGGGTTTAATCCTATCCCCAAGTGGAACTTCCTCTCCAAGAACTTTTTGAACAGTGCGACTTGCTCGAGTTCTTCCGATGTGGACTTTGTTGCATCCATTTCTTTTGGTACCTGGAAATATCTTGGTACTTGATAGGATTCCAAAGACTCCTCCCCCTAGTTGACTTCGCTCGGCTTGGGATTAGGTGTAATTTCTATGTTGCATGCTCCCTCCCTTTACTACTGGAAACTGAGATTGCGTTCATCTCCCTTATCACTGATTGGTTTCATCTTATTTGTTTAATTCCCCCAGGAGTTGTGAACTTTAGTAATTGATGATATGTTGATGGTACAGTCTTCATCTTGTTCAACCATGATCTCCCCAGGATAATATTGTAGCCCATATCGTTGCTTACTACCTCAAAAAGGGTCATGTTCATTACCCTATCGACATTTATGAGTAGCAGGATCTCTCCTCGGGTTTTCACGCTTGCCAGATTGAACCCAGTGAGGAGCTTTGTGGCCAGAATAATACATCTAATCAGCTTGGCTTGATCCAGCACTCTCCACTAGACAATATTGGCCAAACATCCTGGGTTCACCAAGACATGTTTAATTTTAAAATCTAAGACATTAAGAGAGATTACCAAGGCATCGTTGTGCGGTATTAGTAGTCTATTTGCGTCTTCCTATGTGAAAATAATGTCTTTCTCAGCGACTTCCCGTAGTCTCTTACTATAGATTACTTGTACCTTTATCTTTTTTGATGCCGAAAACATCACACCATTAATCTCGTCCCCCTCCCCCTCGAAAATCATCTTGATTGTCAGACGATAAGGATATTCTCCTGCTTTCAAAGGCTTCGTGTTATCATGATTGCGACCCTAGTTATTCTTATCCTGGCGCTTGATAATTCTCTAAGCTGGCCATTTTTCAGTAATGTCGCCACCTCCTCGCACAAATTCTGGCAATCCCCAGTCCGATGACGATTGGTGCCATGGTATTTGCACCACAAATTAGGATCCCTCTAACTAGGATTGGATCTCATTGGTTTCAGAAATCGCGCTTCCTTAATTTTTCTCATAGTCGACACTAGTTCCACTATGACGGAGTTGAAGTTGTATTCGAATAGCCTGGGGTAGGAGGAATCTCAGGAACCCGATATCTCCTTGTCATGCAATGATCTACTATTCCGTCCGTGATTAGCTCTTCTGTCCTTTCATAGGGCAGAAACCGACCTCTTGAAGATCGTTAGTCTGTGTCGAAATTATCCTTTGATTTCTCTTTATTCTTCTCTTGGTCCCGACCCCTGGTTGATGCCGAGAAACCGAGCTAATCATCCTTAATTTTTATCTTCGACTCGTACCGGTTGTGAACATCCACCTATGTTGTTGCCTAGAAGTCGAGCAAACTTTCTTTCAATTTCAAGGAAGCATCGGAGCTTCTCGGATTCAACACCTTAGTAAATGCTTCAACTGCCCATTCGTCCGGTACAACCGATAGCAACATCCTTTCTTTCTGGAATCTGGTCACGAACTCCCGCATCAATTCGTACTCTCCTTGTGCAATTCTAAATATGTCGGCCTTTTGGGCCTATACCTTTCTGGCCTTAGCTTGGGCTTTGATAAAAGAATCTGTGAGCATCTCAAAAGAATCTATTGAGTTCTCCCGTATGATCAAATACCATGTCAAGGCCCCCTTCGTGAGGGTCTCCCCAAATTTCTTTAATAAGACTAAATCAATCTCGTGTGGATCTACATCGTTCCCGTTAACCGCTATTGTATAAGTGGACCTCGTCCATTCACGTTATTGGAAGCACTTTATAGTGCCTGCCTCAACTCTGTCATGACCTGATCTTGTCGTGTGAGGTGACCCATAATGGCCTTTTGTTGCTCCCCCAGGATCCTTATTGTTTCAGCGATATGCTCGTCTTCAGCATCATCAGGAGTTGCCTCTCGAACATGTCGTGGATATTGGCCGCCATGGACCGGCGTGGCCTCATCCCTTTAATTGCGACTATCACTGATCGAGTCTTCATGTTGAGGCTGATTTCCTTGGGGTTTCAATGTTCTGTGCGATGTTGACATCGTTATCTGCCTTTTGTTATATATATTTTTTTTCTAAGAACAAAGAATCAAATAGGTTAATAATAGATGCAAGGATCAACTCAATTACACAACTGTCTAAGCGCCCCACGGTGGGCGCTAAACTGTTTACCCCTAAAATGGTATAATTGAATTATACGTGATTTATAGACACGTGAATCGATTTGATCCCAAAATGATAAATAAATTAAAAAAGAATCTAAGATTTAGCGAATCGAGATAAGACAACAGAAATCCTAGTTCCGAGAGTAGAGCTTCCGGAAGCAGTAGTAACGATCTTAATAAGCAGGAAGATAAAATATTATTGAGCTTTGAACAGTATATAGCATAAGTATGTCAAGAAAATTCGTCCTTTACAATGGCTATTGAGCTCACTATTTATAGTTGTTCCTAGGAAACAAGGTCCTAGGATCAAGCCCAACTTAAATGACAATTATGGGGGTCATTGAAGAATGTGTAACGGTAGGCAGTGAATGCGACTATGTATTTAATGCTTTAGAATATTTTTCATTAACGACTACCAAGTGGAAGACATTTATTTTTTCTTTATGAACAACATTTTCTTCGGGAACAAACGAGATTGCTGCCTTGGGACTTGATTGTCATTTGTCTCGCTTTCCATCTGCATTCGACTCCACGTGCCGCTTTATCATGCGAGCATTTAATATGAATACATTTGATCATATACACCAATAATTACTCTTTTTCAATTACGGTATGAAGAGGTTGTGTGATTTATTGAATTATTATGGGTAAGAAAAAAGAAGAACAACGAAAATTGGACTTCCCTCGCTTTGTTAATGCCACATAGTCACGACGACGACAAAGATAACATGACTTTAATTAATGGTGTTAATCAATCCTATATTTTTGTCCATATGTTTGTGTGCTGTTCCACCGAATTTATGTTGTTCAAAATGCATGAAATGTTGAAAAGAAAAAAGCCGATCACTTTCACATTGAGGGACTTTGTCTTCCAAAATTCATTGAAATTCAAATATAATATAATATATATGAACCGAGTTTAACTTTTATATTCCAACCTGTAAATAAAGTACTTAAATATAGGATCAGCTAAAAGATAACTATTGACAATTATTACAGCAAGTAGCATGCACAACTTTGAAAATAATAACACTAATATATTACGACATGTTAAAATACGCTAAAAGTGTAAATATTATACAACATGTATCCATTATGACCCATATTATAGTTCAGCATTACATTAATCAGTATTCTCCGTATTAAAATTAAAAATGTCAATATTTGGTAAAATTTGTTTAATAGCCAGTGAATCATCTAGTCTAGCTTAATTACTGACACTAATTGTGTATGACTAATTCAATCGTAATTTCTGATTGCTTGTATCATCTATATAGTTACGTAAATCAAACGTGTATCCTATAAAAGAAACTCCATGTACCTAAGATTCTAGTAATATTTTACCAAGGACGACAAAAATGGCCGGCTACATTTTGTATTAAAACCGCAAGTTGTTCAATGTCAAATAAACTAACTTAAAGTCGGAATGATAACGTGAGACTGAACTAAGAAAGTGATCTTGGCAATAAAATAGTCAAGGGAATTAATAAAGAAATAATTAAGCAACTATTTGCATGAGCACTAGGCACATGATGTACTTAATTATTAATTGTGTAAGCAATTAGCTACACTCAGTGCTTGAATTTGCTAGAAGAAGATTTCATCAGGAAAATCATGGAGAAGAATAACACAAAATGGTTCAGTGTTGAATCTGTTCCTCAGTGCTATACATTTTCCCCAGAAGAAAGACCAGGGGAAGCCCTTATACCAATATGCAAGAAAATCCCAGTAATTGACATTGGAAAATCCTTAGTCAGTTCTTCAGAAAATTTGGAAACAATCAAGCAACTTTTGCAAGCTGGTCAAGAATTTGGTTTCTTCCAGGTATATATATAGATCAACGTTTCTTTATTACTACGACTAGTTTCTTTTTCAAGATAAGAGAGTATGTTATTTAAGTACTACAGGTGAATCTAAATTAAAACACGAATATATATATATATATAATCGAACCTATTTTGAATTCATTGTCTCTATATCTTCAATCCTCTTCTAAAGTCAAGGGTGGAGTTATGTAGACTTAAGGGGGTTCGATTGAACTGTTGAATCCCCTTAATTTTAAGGAAAGATTCTAGTATAATGGCAAAGTACGTTCAAAAGTTGTTTTAAGTGTAGATTCAAATTACAAGTGTGACATTTTTTTTTTTTGGTGAATCCCCTCGTGTAAATTCCTGATTCAAATGACAAGTATGACATTCCTTTTTCTTTTTATTTTGAATTTCCTTGCATAAATTTATGATCCCGCCGATGGTACTCTAGAGTGTAGACTAACAAAGAATTTTCAGGTGATCAACCATGGAATCCTAGAAAACGTTCTGACTCAAACAATGTCCACATTTGAAGAGTTTTTCGACATAGCTGGCGAACAAAATGTAGATGTATCAGCCAAGAAAGGGTGGATCTACACAGGGAGCAAGGATGAAGTTAAAGATGGTGTTCATTTATGGAGGGATAATATAAAACACCCTTGTCACCCTCTGGAGAAATGCATGCAAAGTTGGCCTGATAATCCAGCTAGCTACAGGTAATTAAATTAAAGAATAAAAAAAATAGTTGCTCAACTACTTTTCATCTAATATAGTCGAAAACGAATTAATTGCAGAAAAATAGTGGGAACGTACGTAGTAGAAGTAAGGAAGCTGAGTTTGACAATACTGGAGCTGATATGCCAAGGATTAGGAATTGAAGCAGGGTATTTTGAAGAACAAAGCCGAGTTCAATTGTTGTCAGCAAACAATTATCCAGCGTGCCCAGATCCGACGCTGACATTAGGAATACCAAAACATCTTGATCCGAGTCTCATAACCATAATATATCAAGGGAATGTGAGTGGGCTTCAAGTCATGGTAGATGGTCAGTGGATGGGTGTTGGGGCTCTTCCTAATGCTTTTGTTGTCAACATAGGCAACCAGTTAGAGGTATCTATCAATTTTTTTAAACCAATTTAACTTGCAAATGTTTTTAGTCCGAGCTGATATAAAATATACTGTCTTTAGGGGTACAAGATTCGCAAACTTCCCAAAAACATACTAGTTACTACTTATTATGGTACTGGAGATAAGAATTAGAGCAGTGTACTTTCGGGAATTTTGCTTAAATTTGAATGATTTAACTTGGTGTTCCCGCCCATCAAATAGGGACAATACAATTGAATCATTGGCGGGCTAATAGCGTGTTTGGCCAAGCTGTAAAAATCAGCTTATTTTGAGAAGTATTTTTTCTAAAAAATATTTTTCGAAAAAATACTTTTGGTGAGAAGCAGTTTGTGTTTCACTAATTAATTTGAAAAACATTTCTAAGCAGCAATTAGTGTTTGGCCAAACTTTTAAAAACTGCTTCTAAGTATATTTTTTTCAAAAGTGCTTTTCAAAAAAATTATTTTGGAGTAAAGCTATTTTTTTTCTCCAAAAGTGTTTCTGCTTCTCTTCAAAAACATTTTTTTGTACAAATAGCGCTAGCTTGGCCGGACATGCTATAAATTTGAACTACCCATTGTAGCAGATAGGGAAATATAAGGTGTTGCTACATGATATATTTATTATATGGACTGAACACTTCTATCAAGTGCATGTTTCTCACTTTGAATTTTTATTTATGATATATTTTTATTTTAGATTATCAGTAACGGGAAGCTAAGAAGTGTGGAGCACAGAGTAGTAACAAATTCAAGGGAAGCAAGAACATCGATTGCCATTTTTGTGAATCCAGCTCCCAACTGCATCGTTGAGCCTGCAAAAGTCTTGCTTAATGAATCTAATCCCCCTCTCTACAATTCCATTCTTTACAGAGATTTTATAAATGCTTCCAAAGCTTTTGGTATTCATACTGATGCCATACAAAATGAAGCTTAATTAAGTTAATGATATATTACTTACAAAGGTGAAGTCATGGAAATATTAATCTCAGCAAACGTTTGTTTTCCTGTTTTCTTTTCACCTTCTGATTGTAATGTTCGTGAAGTGACTAATTGCGTGAATAAAAAGTTTCATATATTCCTTGTATAGATTGATCCTTCATACTATTGATAATATTCTTTGCCGGATAAAGCAACAAATTTTGGACTGTTTTATTAATGTTACACTTGTATATAGCATTACCTAAATGACACTGTACAAATGATAGTCACCATTCTCGTCCGTGCATCTTTCGAATTAGTCACAGCTCGATGTTCTGCACTTTTCAGCATTCCATTGCTAATCACCTGCATTATCATTATTGTAATTACAGAGAGTCCTGATAGTGTAAAAATTAATTATTTTATGCAGATCAGTATATACAAATTAAACTCAAAAAATAATTAATAGTCTGAAACTAAGAAAAGAATCAATAACAATTGTGTACCTGTGTTCACCACAAATGCATTATAAGGAAGAGGCTCAACGCCAATCCATTCTCCATTTTTGAACACTTGAAGTCCTGAAATATTTCCTTGAAAAAGAATTGCTATCAAATTAATTAGGATCAAAGTGTTTAGGCAATCCCAATATTAAGCTTGGATCAGGACACGGTGGATAGTGATTGACTGAAAGAATTTGCACTTCTGTGAGTTCACTTTCAAAGTAATCTCCAACAACTCCCAATCCTTCTCCAATCATCCCCAAAATGCTTAAAGCCAAGTTTCTTGTTTCAATTGAATATGCCCCCCAACAACATCCCTTTGTGCAAAAAAAAAAAAAAAAAAAAAAAAAGTTCAGAATTGAAGACTTAAAATTTGGCGATGTAAATTTTGAACCAAGATATGTTATCTACCTATATTGAGGGGGCTTTTCGGGCCACAAGGGGATGCAATCGTTGTTGGTAATCTGTATTTGTAAAACAATTCTGGAGAAAATAAAATAACATAAATAGAAACGTAAATAAAATAAAAAAAAAACCAATTCGATCCCACTGAATTCACAGTGTTTCCTTAGGGAATTTAATCCCCTCCTAATACCCAAGGTTATGGATTATTTCCTTCCAGGATAGAACAAATTACACACTGGTGTAGTGGTACTTCAAACCCTAGTGTTTCAGCGAACACAAAGTTCGGTAGCAAATCACACTTACTGTTGCTTTCTTTGAAGTTAAAAATATGCAGAAGAAAGGAGAAGAACTCAGAAAATTCGTATGGAAAATCTGAGAGAATAGATTTGTATTTATAGCCAAAGTTGGGCTAAAATCTGAAGAGGTGCAACTCTTCAGAATGGCTGTTTTTGCAAAACAGCCAAGGAATAAATGCCATAACATAAATGGCTATTTACTCAACAATAAAGAGGGAAAATAAAAAACTGAAAATTGGATAACTGAATTGGATTTAATATTAATATTTATTTTAATATTAATATTTTGTTATTAAACCAAATATTTAATAACAAATAAATTTGGTACAAAAATTAATCAATCGATCGATCATTTGACCAAATCCAAATCCAAATCCAAATACTAATCCGAATCCGAAGCCGAAGTCGAGCCGAACGAGCGAGCGACGAAGACGACAACGATGCGAGGCTTGCCTTCTTCTCAACTCTTTATGAGCTAGAAGAAGAGCAATTGCTTATATACCCATCAAAATCTTTTCCTCTTCCCATATGGGACAATCAAGGAGGGAAACTCAAATATTACTCAAATATTTCATTTTTTCCTCCATTTTCCGTTCACCCTATTTTAAGCATTAATAGCTTAAAAACCTAACAATCCCCCACATTATATCACGGAAGTATGCACGAAAACCTGTGTGATTCGCAAACAAGGATTAATTGCATCTGGATAAGTAGGTTTCCCTTTGAACCTTCTGTAGTGAACTTATGTCGGATATACTCGATCAATCGGTAGATTTGATATCTTTGAACGATCGAACTTTGGTGTATACCTAGACAACCACAAGTCACACAACCAACCCTTAATTGTCCTTGGTTCTCATTGTTGTGTTCGTTTCAGCCATGAACACCGCCTGGTTTCATAAATGCATAGAGAATCGGCCTTGCAAAATTCTCATTGAAGCGACTAAAACTTCACACTTACATAGGTGATTCCTAAACGTGTCATCCCGTAGATACACTATGTGATATACCCTGTATCAAATTTAGAAATCATTAAAAATCCTTAAAGCTTTATCCTTGGTACTGAACATTGTCTCATCAGGAGAATGGACCAAAAGTTTAGTTGACAATGTTGAACCGTCATTAATGACTTTGTTTGATCTCCTTGAACCTAGATCTTGGGTTCTCCAGTCTTCTAGGTAGAGTTACCGCCACTATGACTTGTTCTTGGCCATAGTCCCATTCCCCTTGATGATTTTTCAACTACCTCTCTAGTTAGGCCTTTTGTAAGTGGATCCAACACATTATCACTTGACTTTACATAGTCAACCGTGATAACTCCTCTAGAGAGTAATTGTCTAACGGTTTTATGTCTTCGTCGTATATGACGAGATTTACCGTTATACATAATGCTCCAAGCCCTTCCAATTGTTGTTTGACTATCGCAATATATGCATATTTGTGCCAACGGTTTGGGCCAAAATGGAATATCCTCCATGAAATTTCGGAGCCATTCAGCTTCTTCACCGGCTTTATCCAAGGCTATGAACTCAGCCTCCATTGTAGAGCGGGCAATACAAGTTTGGTTGGATGACTTCCAAGATAACGCTCCTCCACCAATAGTGAATACATATCCACTTGTGGTCTTGGAATCAGTTAATCCGGTGATCCAATTTGCACCACAATATCCCTCAATGACTGCAGGATATTTACTGTAGTGCAAAGCAAAGTCCTGGGTATGTACTAAATACCCCAAAACTCGTTTCATGGCCATCCAATGAGATTGAACTGGATTGCTCGTATATCGACTCAATTTACTTATAGTACAAGCTATATCTGGTCGAGTACAATTCATGATGTACATTAAGCAACCCAACACACAAGCATAATCCAATTGTCATATGCTTTGGCCTTTGTTCTTTGCTAATGCAAAATTCACGTCAATTGGAGTCTTTGCAACTTTAAAGCCCAAGTACTTGAATTTTTCAAGTACTGTCTTAATATAATGGGATTGTGACAATGCCAGATCTTGAGAAGTCTTATGGATCTTAATTCCCAAAATTAATCAGCAACTCCCAAGTCTTTCATATCAAACTTGCCAATTAGCATGTGCTTAGTAGCATTTATGTTGGCAATGTCATTACTCATTATTAGCATATCATCCACATATAAGCAAACAATGACAATGTGATTTGTAACATTTTTAATGTACACACATTTATCACATTCATTTATTTTAAAACCATTTGACAACATTGTTTGGTCAAATTTCGCATGTTATTGTTTGGGTGCTTGTGTTAGTCCATAAAGGGACTTAACAATTCTACATACCTTCTTTTCTTTACCTAGAACCACAAAACCTTCAGGTTGTTCCATGTAGATTTCTTCCTCCAACTCTCCATTTAATAAGACCATCTTAACATCCATTTGATGAATTTCAAGACCCTAAATTACAGCTAACGCTACTAAAGTTCGTATGGATGTAATTCTTGTAACTGGAGAGTATGTATCAAAAAAGTCAAGACCTTCTCGTTGTCTATACCCTTTGTCCACAAGTTTTGCCTTAAATTTGTCAATTGTGCCATCATCTTTCATTTTCCTCTTAAAGATCCATTTAGAACCCAACGGTTTATTTCCAGGAGGAAGATCAACCAATTCCCATGTATGAATGTTCATTATAGATTCTATTTCACTATTGACTACGTCTTTCAAAAATAATGATTTCGAAGAAGACATAGCTTCTTTAAATGTTTGAGACTCATTTTCCAATAAGAAAGTCACAAAATCTGGTCCAAATGAAGTAGACATTCTTTGACGTTTACTATGTCTTGGATCCTCCTCATTAAGTGTATTTTCTTTTGTTTCTTCCCAAGGTCGTTTAGATCCTTCACCAATCGACTCACATTCCTTTTTATATGGATATATATTTTCAAAGAACTCAGCATTATATGATTCTATAACCGTATTATTATGAATGTCAGGATTTTCTAATTTATGAATAAGAAATTGATATAATTTACTATTAGTCGCATATCCTATGAAAACACAATCAACGATTTTCGCTCCTATTTTTACCCTTTTGGGTTTAGGAACTTGCACTTTTGCCAAACACCCCCACACTTTAAAATAATTCAAGTTGGGCTTCCTTCCTTTCCATTTTTCATATGGAATGGATTGTGTTTTGCTATGGGGCACTCAATTTAATATTCAATTACCCGTAAGAACGGCTCCCCCCACAAGTTCTGTGGCAAACCAGAACTTATCAACAATGAGTTCATCATCTCCTTTAATGTACGATTCTTTCTTTCCGCAATAACATTGGATTGGGGAGTGTAAGGGGACGTTGTTTGATGAATAATTCCATATTCTAAACATGTTTCTTCAAAAGGAGATTCATATTCACCACCCCTATCACTTCTTATCATTTTCATATTCTTGTTATGTTGCGTTTCAACTTCATTTTTGTATTGCGTGAATGCGTCTATTGCTTTATCTTTATTATTAAGTAAGTAAACATAGCAATATCGAGTACTATCGTCAATAAGGGTTGTGAAATACTTTTTTCCACCGCGAGATGATATTGACTTCATGTCACAAATATCTGTGTGAATTAAGTCTAAAGGATTTGAATTCATTTCAACTTACTTATAATGATGTTTAACATACTTAGATTTCACACATACTTGACATTTTAATTTGTCGCATTCAAACTTAGGCAGTACTTACAAATTAATCATTTTCCGCAAGGTTTTATAATTGACATGACCCAAACGTATATGCAATAATTCATTTGACTCAAGTAAGTAAGACGAAGCTGAAATTTTATTATTATTTTCAACAACTATTACATTCAGCTTGAAAAGGCCCTCGGTGAGGTAACCTTTTCCTACAAACATCTCGTTCTTACTTATTACAACCTTATCGAATACAAATATACATTTAAAACTATTCTTAACAAGAATTCCAATAGAGACTAAATTCTTTCTAATCTCGGGAACATGAAAGATGTTGTTCAAAGTCACCACTTTGCCAGAAGTCATTTTGAGAAATATCTTCCCACATCCTTCAATCTTGGCCATTGCATCAATTCCTATAAAAAGCGTCTCATCGGATCCAACAGGAGCATAAGTAGCAAAAGCTTCTCTAACCGCACAAATATGGCGAGTGGCTCCAGAATCAATCCACCACTCCTAAGGATTGCCCACCAAGTTGCATTCGGAAAGCATGGAACACAAGTCATCAACATCATCATGCTTTTTAACCATGTTTGTTTGACCCTTCTTCTTGTCTTTCTTCGGAGCATGACACTCCATAGATTTGTATCCGAATTTTTCATAGTTGTAGCAATTTCCACTGAACCGCTTCTTGCTTGGGTTGTATTTCGGTCCAGAAGCCTTCTTCCTCCTTTTGTTCTCTTCAACAATATTTGTTCCCATTATTGTTGAGTTTTCACGGCCTCTCTTGTCAACAGCTTTATTGTCCTCTTTGATTCTCAACCGAACAATGAGATCATTAAGGGACATCTTCTTGCATTTGTGTTTCTAATAGTTTTTGAAATCCTTCCACAACGGAGGCAACTTCTCAATCATCGTTGCTACTTGGAATGCTTCATTGATGACAAGACCTTCAATGAAAATTCTGTTAGTAAACATAATAAAATTAATACTACCAACACTAGTATTAATTCTACTTATACCTTCAGCAAGGAGATTGTGGATAATCACTTACAATTCCTAGACTTGGGTAATGACAGACTTGCCATCTACCATTTTATAGTCCAAAAACTTTGTAGCAACGAACTTCTTCAACCTGGCATCTTCAGTTTTGTATTTCTTTTCAAGCGCAATCCATAGTTCTTTTGAAGTTTCCACACCACTGTAGACATTATACAAAGCATCCTCCAGCCCGCTTAGAATATAATTCTTGCACAAAAAATGTGAATGCTGCCAAGCCTCAATCACCAGAAAGCGTTCAGTCTCTGGAGTTTCATCGAATAGCATAGGAACATCTTCCTTGATGAACTTCTGGAGACTTAGAGTAGTCAAGTAGAAGAACATCTTTTGCTGCCAGCGCTTTAAATCAATCCCGAAAAATTTTCCGAGTTTCTCCGCTGGTGCTAATGCTGCCGGTGTTATTCGGCTGAGGCATTGGCAGTTACCATTGGAACAACTTGGTTTCCATTGTCATTCGTCATTTTTGTTAAAGAATGACACAAACGTTAAAATCACGTAGATTTTAATCTCCAATAGAGTACAAAACCACAAAGGTTTTACTCTCCAGAAACAGTGAGTATAACACAAATACAGAAAATATACTAAATTCCTTAAGCTTGTTAGTAATCTGTATTTGTAAAATAATTCTGGAGAAAATAAAATAACATAAACAGAAATGTAAACAAAATAAAAAAAATCGATTCGAGCCCAGTAGATTCATAGTGTTTCCTTAAGGAATTTAATCCCCTCCTAGTACCCAAGGTTATGGATTATTTCCTCCCATGATAGAGCGAATTACACACTGGTGTAGTGGTACTTCAAACCCCAGTGTTTTAGCGAACACAAAGTTTGGTAACAAATCACACTTACTGTTGATTTCTTTGAAGTTAAAAATATGCATAAGAAAGGAAAAGAACTCAGAAAATTCGTATGGAAAATCTGAGAGAATGAACTTGTATTTATAGGTAAAGTTGGGCTGAAATCTGAAGACGTGCAACTTTTCAGAATGACTGTTTTTGCAAAATGGACAAAGAATAAATGCCATAATATAAATGGCTATTTACTCAACAATAAAGAGGGAAAATTGAAGGATAGTTAATTTTCTGTTACAAAAATAGAAAACAAAAATTGGATAACTGAATTGGATTTAATATTAATTTTTATTGTAATATTTATATTTTATTATTAAACCAAATATTTAATAACATTTTTGTTAATATTTACTATTAACAAATAAATTTGGTACAAATATTAATCAATCGATCGATCATTTGACCAAATCCAAATCCAAATCCAAATACGAATCTGAAGCCGAAGTCGAGCCGAACGAGCGAGCGACGAAGACGACAACGATGCAAGGCTTGCCTTCATCTCAACTCTTTATGAGCTAGAAGAAGAGCAATTGCTTATATACCCATCAAAAACCTTTTCCTCTTTCCATATGGGACAATCAAGGAGGGAAACTCAAATATTACTCAAATATTTTATTTTTTCCTCCATTTCCCGTTCACCCTATTTTAAGCATTAATAGCTTAAAAACCTAACAACCCCCAACATTATATCACGGAAGTATGCATGAAAACCTGTGTGATTCGCAAACAAGGATTAATTGCATCTGAATAAGTAGGTTTCCCTTTGAACCTTCCGTAGTGAACTTATGTCGGATATACTCGATCAATCGGTAGATTTGATATCTTTGAACCGTCGAACTTTGGTGTATACCTAGACAACCACAAGTCACCCAACCAACCCTTAACTGTCCTTGGTTCTCATTGTTGTGTTCGTTTCAGCCATGAACACCGCCTGGCTTCATAAGTGCATAGAGAATCGGCCTTGCAAAATTCTCATTGAAACGACTAACACTTCACACTTACATAGGTGATTCCTAAACGTGTCATCCCGTAGATACACTATTTGATATACCCTGTATCAAATTTAGAAATCATTAAAAATCCTTAACGCTTTATCCTTGGTACTGAACATTGTCTCATCACGAGAATGGACCAAAAGTTTAGTTGACAATGTTGAACCGTCATTAATGACTTTGTTTGATCTCCTTGAACCTAGATCTTGGGTTCTCCAGTCTTCTAGGTAGAGTTACCGCCACTATGACTTGTTCTTGGCCATAGTCCCATTCCCCTTGATGATTTTTCAACTACCTCTCTAGTTAGGCCTTTTATAAGTGGATCCAACACATTATCACTTGACTTTACATAGTCAACTGTGATAACTCCTCTAGAGAGTAATTGTCTAACGGTTTTATGTCTTCGTCATATATGACGAGATTTACTGTTATACATAATGCTCCTAGCCCTTCCAATTGTTGTTTGACTATTGCAATGTATGCATATTTGTGCCAACGGTTTGGGCCAAAATGGAATATCTTCCATGAAATTCCGGAGCCATTCAGCTTCTTCACCAGCTTTATCCAAGGCTGTGAACTTAGCCTCCATTGTAGAGCGGGCAATACAAGTTTGTTTGGATGACTTCCAAGATACCGCTCCTCCACCAATAGTGAATACATATCCACTTGTGGTCTTGGAATCAGTTAATCCTGTCATCCAATTTGCACCACAATATCCCTCAATGACTGCAGGATATTTACTGTAGTGCAAAGCAAAGTCCTGGGTATGTACTAAATACCCCAAAACTCGTTTCATGGCCATCCAATGAGATTGAACTGGATTGCTCGTATATCGACTCAATTTACTTATAGTACAAACTATATCTGATCGTGTACAATTCATGATGTACATCAAGCAACCCAACACACGAGCATAATCCAATTGTCATATGCTTTGGCCTTTGTTCTTTGCTAATGCAAAATTCACGTCAATTGGAGTCTTTGCAACTTTAAAGCCCAAGTACTTGAATTTTTCAAGTACTGTCTTAATATAATGAGATTGTGACAATGCCAGATCTTGAGAAGTCTTATGGATCTTAATTCCCAAAATTAATCAACAACTCCCAAGTCTTTCATATCAAACTTGCCAATTAGCATGTGCTTAGTAGCATTTATGTTGGAAATGTCATTACTCATTATTAGCATATCATCCACATATAATCAAACAATGACAATGTGATTTGGAACATTTTTAATGTACACACATTTATCACATTCATTTATTTTAAAACCATTTGACAACATTGTTTGGTCAAATTTCGCATGTCATTGTTTGGGTGCTTGTGTTAGTCCATAAAGGGACTTAACAATTCTACATACCTTCTTTTCTTTACCTAGAACCACAAAACCTTCAGGTTGTTCCATGTAGATTTCTTCCTCCAACTCTCCATTTAATAAGACCATCTTAACATCCATTTGATGAATTTCAAGACCCTAAATTACAGCTAACGCTACTAAAGTTCGTATGGATGTAATTCTTGTAACTGGAGAGTATGTATCAAAAAAGTCAAGACCTTCTCGTTGTCTATACCCTTTGTCCACAAGTCTTGCTTTAAATTTGTCAATTGTGCCATCATCTTTCATTTTCCTCTTAAAGATCCATTTAGAACCCAACGGTTTATTTCCAGGAGGAAGATCAACCAATTCCCATGTATGAATGTTCATTATAGATTCTATTTCACTATTGACTACGTCTTTCAAAAATAATGATTTCGAAGAAGACATAGCTTCTTTAAATGTTTGAGACTCATTTTCCAATATGAAAGTCACAAAATCTGGTCCAAATGAAGTAGACATTCTTTGACGTTTACTATGTCTTGGATCCTCCTCATTAAGTGTACTTTCTTTTGTTTCTTCCCAAGGTCGTTTAGATCCTTCACCAATCGACTCACATTCCTTTTTATACGGATATATATTTTCAAAGAACTCAGCATTATATGATTCTATAACCGTATTATTATGAATGTCAGGATTTTCTGATTTATGAACAAGAAATTGATATAATTTACTATTAGTCGCATATCCTATGAAAACACAATCAACGATTTTCGCTCCTATTTTTACCCTTTTGGGTTTATGAACTTGCACTTTTGCCAAACACCCCCACACTTTAAAATAATTCAAGTTGGGCTTCCTTCCTTTCCATTTTTCATATGGAATGAATTGTGTTTTTCTATGGGGCACTCGATTTAATATTCGATTAGCCGTAAGAACGGCTTCCCCCACAAGTTCTGTGGCAAACCAGAACTTATCAACAATGAGTTCATCATCTCCTTTAATGTACGATTCTTTCTTTCTGCAATCACATTAGATTGGGGAGTGTAAGGGGACGTGTCACACCTCCTTTTTGCGCGCCCGCCCCGAAGGGTTAAATGCGCGGGTGGAGTTTTTCCA